GTCAAGGGAAAGAAATTTTTACATTGGCTATTCATCTAGAACCAAAGAAATGCTTACTTATGAAAGAAGGACCTCTCGCTATTTCCTTTTTTTCTCTATTTTAAAATTTTTATTATGTTTTTTCTTTTACTTCTATTTGTTTATGAATATTTTCTTTTTGGTACTAACTTTTAGATAAACTACAGGATAATTAAATAGTATTAAAATACAAGGCAATTTCAATGAAAACATTTGGCATACTATCTAATGTTTCCATATTACCTTGTCATTAAGCTCTCTGGAAATATCTAGGTGTCGCTGACAACAAACGATAGCTTCATCAAAATTCCCAAGAACTTTTAAGGTGTTTCCCAGATTACCACTAGCTTTGGCTTCCCCCAACTGGTCTCCAATAGTCCTGGGGGAATAAAAGCAAATGGCATTAAAATATAAAGCAGCCAGAGTACAGTTTTCCTAGAGGACAAACTGACATGCTCAAAGTTAAGAAAGACCCATTAGCCTTGAAATCTACTTTAAATACAAATTTAAAACTTACATTTCTGTCTTTAATTAGTTTTCATCCATTTAATTAAACTCCAGGGCCATTTCACTATTATCATTCAATTAAACTTCATATTCAGCCTAAAGATTAGTTTTAAAAAGTGATGCTATTGAAGTAGAACTTATTAAATATATTGTTAATTGTTTCTAATTGAATAGAAATACTTTTTAAAGTAACAGCTAAATTAGGGAGAAAGAATATTAAACAGCTTAAATTAATTACCTTGCAAGAGTTAAATCATGATGGTGGTATTCTAATGCTTTGGCATAATCATGCAAATAGAAATACGCATTGCCCAGCTGGCTGTAAATAGCACTAAGTGTTTTTAGGTCTTCAGTTCCAACTTGAACTGCAGCTTCAAAGAATGACACGCCTGCGCGGCAGTCTCCTGATTTACACAGACGTTCCCCTTCCAAGGCCAGCTCTAGGCAAGAAGCTTCCATTCTACAAAATTACATAGCACAGACATTTACAACATAACATTACAACTGCATTGCAGTGTTTTTAACTTCCAGTAATGTAATTTAAATGTGGACTATGTGGCTACTCTTGTTCAGAACAGCTGCCTCTATACTTGAAGTATATATACATTATTGATAAAAGAGTAAACAGTTATTTGTAGCTGAGAGATCCGTTATGTAGGATAGCTAGGTATCTTTAAGTGGAGCTCATTTTAATTAGCCCATCCAGAGCAACTCACTTTACTAGTTAAAGAACCTAAAGCAATATATCCCATACTATTCTCAGTTGTGGCAGACCTATGGACTTTCTGAGAGTTTGGGGAGAATAAGGAGTATCTGAGAAAGTGAGGTCCTATATGATTAATCTTATTCCCTATCCAGGTATCCATCTGTCCATCAATCCCGCCCACCATCCTTCCATCCATCTCTCTCCCCTTCTCTGTTTCATACACAGAATACACACATACAACATAACTCCCTCTCCTTCCTCTTCTTACCACCAAATGACAATCTACACTCTAGAAAAATAGAGGAAGAATATATCTTGATCTATAGAGCACATTTTCAAAAGAGAACTAATTGTCAAGAAACTTTAAGTTAGAAAGCAATGATTCAAAGATTTGCAGAAATTATAATTCTCAAAGTCTGTCCCTGAATTGAAAAAGCCAGAATTAAGTCAGTGTAAATAAATCTGGGAGAAAAAACATTTTGGGTTTAAATCCTAAACTTCAGGAGGTGCCCTTCATCAAAGTTGCCACTGTGTTTCCTCAGCATCTTCATGATTTCTGCCATGTCTATATTTACCTATTAACTTAATGTATTTACAGTTTGGCATATTTCCTTTAAATTGGCACACTATATTTAACTTGTCATTAAAAAAAAATCTAGCTTCATCTGAATCAGTATCCATAAAACTGTGAATTTGATGATACTTATATTTTCTAATACACATTATATAAATATGTAATTATTAAAATTTAAAAGGGAGTAAAATTACCTTATGTACCAGCAGTCATATACATATCACCCTTTGAAAAATTCTGATTAAGCTCATCAAACATTTTAATGTTTGAAATAGCACTCAATTACTCCTTATCAGAATTAGCTCTGAGCCCCTCTAACAGAACAGTAGTTCTTAATGCTAGCTTTACAATAGCGGAGCACGTATGGAGCACTTCTAAAACTCAACACTGAGCCCCACTTGTGGGTGAGGTCAAGTCCCCAAGTAATTTTAACATACAAGCTGGGGTTGAGAATCACTGCTTTTATAAGAAATGTGAATTAAACCAATCACCGCTCACTCTAATATCATTCAAATATGATTATGCTTTGTATATCCAGCAACAGGTCAATTAATGTTTCCTCAGGTGCTCTCTTTTAGTCTATAAAATATCAAGATTTCTTAGGGTCATAAATTAAAATGGGATTATAAAGGGGAAAATAAATCTGATTAGGCTAAAAGAAAAGTCTGGACTAAGATTAACAAAGCCAATTGTAAAGGTTCAAAGCAGACTTCTGGTTCAGAACAAGCAGATTTATGTAGTTAACTCTAATAGATAATTTTCAAATTTCATATGCAGGTATCTTTTTTTATAATTCAAGTGATTTAGCCAATGGCAACAACCTGCTCATAGTTAGACTAGTGACTTCACCTTCACTTTACCAATCTATGCAAAATAATGCAAGCAGATCCGGGCACGGTGGCTCACGCCTGTAATCCTAGCACTCTGGGAGGCCGAGGCGGGCAGATTGTTTGAGCTCAGGAGTTCCTGAGCAGCCTGAGCAAGAGCGAGACCCCATCTCTACTAAAAAT